GAATCTGCCCTGAAGGACCTCAGAAGGAAGGTCTTGCGATCCACTTCCAAAAGGTTGTGGTTGTTGTTACGTGCCATCAAGTCAGATGTGACTCATAGTGACCCCTCCTTGGGTTTCCGAGGCAGTATCAATACGGAAGTAGATTGCCCAACCTTCCTTCTGAGGAGTAGCTTGTGGGTTTGAACCGCTGATCTTCTGGTTAGCAGTCAAATGCCTTAGGCACTACGCCACCAGAGCTCCTTTGAAAATCCCATGGAGGGCAGGGTTCTACTTTGGTTCTACTCTAACAAACGTGGGGTCACCATGATTCAACTCAATGGCAACTTGTTTTGGTTTTTATCTTGGCAGTAGTTCTTTTAGCATGGGCCAAGGGTCTTAACTCACCTGGGTCCCTATTTCTAGGCCTCACAACCAGAAGTTGTTTGACATTTACACTGTGTAACTCAGATGTGCAAGGAAAAAATTAATATAATTTGCTATAACTGATCTTACTTAGTTCTTGGATTCTCATTCCTACCAATGGCATGAAATTCAAGTGCAAGGAAAAATCAACTGATGATGGTTGAAGTCAAAACTGTGGCTCTCTTTGTGGGTAATATTGCTGGGCAGGGGGCAAAGGGAGCCTTTTGAGTGATGGGAATGCTTACATCTTGATGTGGATGGTGAGTATATGGTTGGATACACAAGTTAAAATTCCAAAAGTTGAATGCTTATGATGTGTGAACTTTACACATTTTAAGCCACAATTTTAAAAATAGCAGAAGAAGGAGGAAGAAGAGGAAAAGGAGAAGGGCAGGAGGAGAAGAAGAAGAAGATGAAGAGGAAAAGGAGAAGAGGAGGAAAGAGAATAACAACAAGAACAAAATTTAAAAGGTCTCTTTTAGGTAAATACCTGGCCCATATGAAGTTCAATGACACAATGTCCTCTTTTAGGGCTGTTTTTTCCCTTTCAGTTTTCTTCCTCCTACCTCTTTTTTCCTGCATGTCCTTTGAGTGGTATCGGGAATTTGTGCTTCGTCGGTTGCATAGCGGCTAAGGCGCTTGACTGCTAACCAGAAAGCTGGCAGTTCAAACCCACCAGCCACTCCTCGGAAGGAAGGTTGGACAATCTACTTCCGCAGTGATACTGCCTTGGAAACCCAAGGAGGGGTCGCTATGAGTCAGGTCTGACTTGATGGCAAATAACAACAACAACAAATGGTAGCATAGTGCCTAAGGCATTTGACTGCTAACCAGAAGTTTGGCGGTTCACGTTTTTCTGAACACTGATGATGGTGAGTTTTTTTTTTTTTTTTGTAATGGTCATATGTAAAGAGCTCTGGTGGCATAGTGGATAAAGCATTTGGCTGCTAACCAGAAGGTCAGTGGTTCAAACCTACCAGCCACTCTGCAGAAGGAAGATGGGGCAATCTACTTCTGTAAGGATTTACAGCCTCAGAAATCCCATGTGGATCACTGTGAGTTGGAATTTACTCAGATGGCAGTGAGTTTGTTGTTTTTGTTTTAATGGTGATGTGAAAGGAGTACTGGTGGTGTAATGGGTAAGGCATTTGACGGCTAACCTAAAGGTCAGTGGTTCAAACCCTCCAGCTGCTCCATGGGAGGAGGGTGAGGCAATCTACTTCTGAAAAAATTACAGCCTTAGAAACACTATGAGGATCACTGTGAGTCAGAATTGACTTGATGGTAGTAGGTTTGATTTTTGGTTTTTAATGGTGATCTGAATGAGGCTTGGTGATGCAACAGCTAAGTGCTTGGCCACTAACCAAAAGATTGGCAATTTGAACCCACCCATCTGCTCCTTGGAAGAAAGACCTGGTGAGCTGCTGCTGTAAAGATTACAAACTAGAAAGCCCTACGAGGCAGTTCTGCTCTGTCACCTAGGGTGCTATGAGTCAGAATCAACTTGACAGCACCCAACAACAGTGGTATGAGCAGGGGCTCAGGTCCTGCAAGCTGGTCTCTTCTGAACTCCCTCTCATTCCATCAGGTCACTGGAAATCTGTGTTTTCACCCAACAACCCTAAGACATAGTGCTATTATTGTGTTATTTTTACGAATGAGGAAACTAAGTCATGGAGAAGTCAAGTAACTTGGCTAAACTCACAAAGCTAATAAGTGGTAGAGACAGGAATTGAATTAGCAGCTCAGCTTCAGAGAGCCTGTGCTCTTAACCATTATAAAAAAAGAGTGCGTCACATGCAAATAAGGCTTCAGATCTGTCCCCTGGCTTCTCCTTCCAACCAGATTGCCTGTTCCCAACCCTCTCCTACATAGAAATTCTGAAGTTGTTACTGTAGGAAATAGTTTAGAAATAAAACCATAGGAGCTCCAGCCATGTGGAGTTAAGGAAATAGATGAAATGGTTATCAGAAATGACGGGTCTGGAGAACTTACAAGATAGGAGCAGGGTATCCAAGTGAAATAAACAGGTCAGAGATCATTTTTTGAGTGCCTGTTTTGAGAGTCAGTTCTGATGACTATGAAGTAAAGAACTCGCAGGAACTCAGAGTTTAGAACTTTTGTTTGTTTTAGAAAGCAAGAGATTAGTTTACTGCAGTGTAAGGAATTTCAAGAATCAAACACTTATGTACAAGAAGATAGTTTCTAAACACACAGCATAGTTTTGTATTTCATCCTTGTACAACTTGTGTTGAAAGTTTTATTTAGAAAATGTCTTAAATTCCAGATTTTTGCTGCCGTGTCTCTCACCTTCACTATGTCCTGGCTCAGATCCTCTTCAATATGGAGGGGCAACATATCTGCTTCCTTTTTAGTTTATCCCCAAATTCAAACAGAGCTCTTTTTATTACAAGGAATCTCAAAGATGCCTTTCCATGTGACATATGTTTATCAGAAAACAAATAAAACAAAAAGAAGCAAGATTTTCTGTGAAATACAGCACGAGGTGACCTAAGACTGTGACTCATCTTCCTGTAGGTGGGCCACCCTAATGAGAACACTCATCCTTGAATTTGGAGGCTAAGATCTCTCATGAGTTTACTTAAATTTCATCAGATATCTTGAACCACCATTTGTGTAGAAATGTGCTTGAGCAATGGTCTTCAGATATTTCTGCTCAGATGTTCTCAGAAGAAGTTTGAAAACCTAAGTAATTCCACAGGAGAAAAATGGGATGATACACTTCCATAGAGATTTACAATGTTGGAAACCCTATGGGACAGTTCTACTCTGGCCTATAAGGTCCCTATGAATCAAAATTGACTTGATGGTAGTTAATTTATATACATACTTTAATCTATTTATGTTTTAATCTTATTTTTTCTTATAAATTTAATAACTGCAAATAATGTAACCTCTATAATACTGTAAATAGACATTGAAATGATGAAACAGTTTTACTATTCTTTAAGATGGTTTCCCATAGATTCTAATCACTGCAGCATCTCAATAACCATCCCCACACACCGTTATCCTTTTTAAAAATGCGTAAGCAAGCTCTTTATCAATAGTTGGATTTTTTAACATTGTTCCTAGCGCTCTGTGAACTTCCCCATTTCATTTACCCTTCACTACTCTACTATAACAGTTTTTTTTTTCACTTGAAATATTTTTTATCTTATTTTGCCACCCCATTATGCTTCTCTACATCAAAAAATATGTTTACCAACTTTTAAAAATTTTCCTATGACTTGTAAGGTTCTGTTGCGTTAAATTTTGTAGTCCCAAATAATCTTTTGGTGAAAATGACTTTTCCATGAGTCTGAATAAATATTCAAGAACATATAAAAATAATAGTGAAATTTATAGCACACTTACCAAATGTAGGACTATTATAATATTTTCACAGCACCACCATGAACTGAGTATTGTTTTCATCCTCATTTTTACAGATCAGGAAACTGAGCCCAAGAAGAGTTAAAGAATATGCAAGGTGATGATGAATTTGGATTTGAAACCAGAAATTCTAGCTGTACAATCAGTGCTCTTAGCTGACATGTACAGTGTTTCTATGTTCTTTTCATCTTAAGATGTAACATTAAACAGTTTAGAAATAAATGTGGAATTTTTAACATCTTCTTCCTTGAAATCATGCAAAATGCACGACTGTGACCCAGACCAAGAAACTGGTGAATGAGAGCAGTCTCCGAGCTCTTTCTCTTTACAGAGAATAGTGACAATCCAAAGTGTACTTTACAGCAAATTGCTGTTTCCCAGCATGTTTTTACAAATCTTGAATGTTCTAGGATAGGCAGACAATGAGGCTGACTTGCCATAAGATTTTCACCCTGTTCAATGAGATGCTGCCATTTTTATTTCTTACTGATGCTCTTTCTTCTACTCTCATGGAGTGCCCCTTAGGAGGGAGATTTTCTTTAATAGTGGATGGAAGAGGAGAGACAGTTAAATAGAAATTTTTATTACTTTTGCTACCCTACTCTATAGCATAACTGAATCCATAACTTCTAAACAAATGCCAAAATAACCTCTGTGTTATTTAGTACTCCATTTTGCCCTTAACAGGAATTTATATAAGGCAAGGAAAAACATGAAGCTCTGTTGTATATAATGCCTAAATTAGAAGCAGTTTCTGAGTTGTTCCTTTTTTTGGCACCCTGGAACTTTCCACACCTTATTATGCATCATAATAATATAAGAGATGGAAAGAAAAATAAAGGTGATTATAAAGGGAGTTAGAAAAGTATAATTGGCCTGATGCCCTGACTTCAAAGATATTCTCACACATATCAGTTGTAGGCAAATATGTATATGAAAGTTGAAGATCTAGAAATTAATTCCGTTAAAGCTCCGTGCCTGCATAATTCTCTTTAGAAAGTTTCAGTGAACCTCCAAAAGTATGGGGCTACATTGATCAACAGCACAATGGCATAAGCCCTAGATGAGGCACTTTAACCCCATCCACTTCCTGGACTTTTTACATAGGTCAAGTGTGCTCAATGAGCTGAAGGTTCATCAGGTTGGAGGAGTAGATGCTTTCAATGACTAAAGCTGGGCAATATTCCAAACTCTATGGATACGCTCCAGTTGCTGAGAGTAGCGAGATAGTCACAGCACAACCATGTGAAAAAATCACAAGCAAAATTGCTCACCATAGTTTCCTCCCTTTCCATCTTCCTCCATCTCAAAGGGCCCATTCCTAATCATTTGTTGTTTATTTTTGCAAATCAAAAATTTTATTTATAAGGTATGTCTAATAATATTTTTAACAGCTTTACTGAACTATAATTTATGTACCATATGAAAGAAACCCCAAAATCTTATATTTTATTCTATTTTATGACTCATGAAAACTCCATGTATATAGTTCACCTCTTTAAAGTGTATAATTCAATGATTTTTAGTATACATATAGAGGCATACTTGGTGAATTCTTTCCACCTGCAGACTCAAATCTTTTCTATTGTTCCTTTACTTCTTCTCATCCATCTCTTCTTTTTGAACCTTATTATTTGCATGTTAATCCTCCTAATCAGTACTGCAAGTGTTCATTTTCTTCATGATATTCATCTCCATGTTGTGATACTTAGTTAAGCCATGTCTTCCATTTGCTCTTCTAGAGTAGTCATCTCATTCTTTATAGTGATCAGCCTCTTTCAATTTGTCTATTCAATTCATCTAAAATTTTAAACTTGAAAAATGCGTGTTTTCAGATTATTATTTTTTAAAACTGTATTCATTTGCTTGATTTTATTATTATTATTAATTATTGTGATTTGAGTGAAATTTTACAGAGCAAATTTGTTTTCCATTCAGCAGTTCATATACGTTTTGTTTCATGACATTGATTGCAATCCCCATAATGTAACAGCTCTCTTCTCACTTCTTCCCTGTGGTTACCTTTTCTCTATGTCCTTCTTTCCTATACAGTCCTGTCACCTGAGCTATCTTCCTGTACAAATGCTGCCCTTGTCATCTCTTATGGTTGATTGTCCTAAAGAGTGTACCTACCCGGTATAGTTGTTCCTGGCTTGAAGAGTTGAATTCCAGATCTGAAGGGTGAGTAGGGGCCATCTTCTTGGGGGTTTCACCAGCCTTTATCAGACCAATAAGCCTGGTCTTTTTTTGTGATTTCAAGCTTTCCATATTTTTTCTTTCCATATTTTTCTCTCACTGTATCTAGGATCTATTTTGATCCCTTTTTGAGTGGTTGACATTGATAGCATGACCATCTAGGTCTCCTAGTCTCAGCATCAGGTAGGCTGAGGTTCACATGGTCCACTAATCCCTTGCACTTATTGTTTCCATATGTCTTTGATTTTCTTCATTCTCTTTTGCTCTGGATGAGAAGAGACCAATTGTGTCTTAGGTTGCTGCTCACAAGCTTTTAAAACCCCAGTCACTACTCACCACAGTATGACGTAGAACAATGTTTTTGTGTAGAAGTTGTGCCATTTGAGCTTAATATTCCCTGTGACCAAGGTCCTGAGACTGCGGGCCTGGCAACTCATTCCCTCAAGGTGTTTGGCTGTGGCTAAGAAATTGTCCTAAATTTGCCCTCCCTTGCCTGATCTTATTTATTTTCATTTCTGCTTTCCACACTTCACACCAGTGGGAAGCTACCTTTTCAGGATTTTCAATTCATTTTCTCCTCCTTCTGGTTACCGGGTCCCTTTAAGTGAAATGGTTAGGTGTTTGTTTGTTTGTTTTTTGCCTGCTTATGGCTCCAACTTCTTGGTTTGCTGACACTTGAGAAACTCAGTGAGTGGTGGAAGGTGCAGCATTTTCCACTGCTGCGGACCTGTCAGCAAATGCTAATTCTCTCCTGAGGCTTCTGTCCCAGGTGGGACCACTCTCACTGCCTAAGGATTTGGAGCAAGTCCACCTTCCCAAACAGCTCACATTCTGTCCTCCAAGGCCTATAGGATCAGGTAGCCCCTTCCCCTGGATCCATGAGAGGGATACATGTAGCCTTTCTAGTTGAGGACTCACAAGACCTCAGGTTTCACCCAAGTTGCTTTTCATGCACCTCTTGAAGGTTAGACCTTAGTAGGTCAGACAATCTCTCCCTTGCAAAAATAAGAAGCACCCTGAGAAAGAAGTACAGGTAGCACCTTTAATAAGTAGCCCAGTTCTGGAGCAGGTGCAAATGACCTTGGAATTATGATTTTGATGAACAGATCCCACCCACAGTGCACATAATTGCACCTTCTCCAACTCATCATGTTTTGGTCTCTCTATGTATTACCACAATGTGGAGAATCTAGGCACCTGTCCTCTTCTCTCATGTCTCCCAGTTCAATTCTCCTGCCATCTGTTTGTCTCAGGAATACCAGGGTCATGCTTGGGGCAAGAAGAACTATAAAATGGAGACAGACATGAATGAGGTCTCCAGATTTTGCAGTGGAGATTATAATAACAAGTGGACTCGGGCATGGGGTTCTCTTATGTGACTGGGACTTCAGAGCTAGAGACACCCATTCATGTGTACACAGGTTCTCACTCTCATATATATTGGATATGTTTATTTCTTAGCTAAATGATCCATATATTCTCCTCTTTCCAGTGTCTAGTAAAAGCAAGAGAGAGAGAGGAAGTGTTTTCCCAAGGGCTGCCAGAGACCTAAACAAAGCTGTGAGGGGACTCTTGGGGATGAATGAAAGAAAACCCTGGTCTCTGGTCCCACAGCTCAGCTTCCTCCCTGAAGAAGAGGGCAGTCTGGCTTCAGAGGCTGCTCAGGGCAGGTTGCATCTCTCGTTCATCTCCATGGCTACTGAAGATACTGGTCTCCTCCAGAACCACCTAGTAGTAGACTCCATGATTCCTTCCATGAGGGCGGTAAAGAGCTGTGCTGAAGACATTTCTCAGTGACAGGGAGTTACTCTAGAAAAAGAAGGGTGGATAGTTTCAGAGTTGTACGCCCTTCTCCCAAGCCTTCACCATAGACTCCTTCTAGAATCTTCCTTCCTTCCAACCATCTCCCTCATTTAATATTCATTCCTCCATTTATTCCTTTTTCCATAAATCAATTGCTCTTTCTGAATATTTATTGTTTTTTTCTGGTTCTAACTTGCAATTTCTCTTTTGCAAAACTTTCTGGATCTCTCTTTCCTCCTCTACTATTCACATCTAATTTCTTTATGTCCCTGCTGCTCCTTCCCTCAGGCACTTTCCTACATGTTAGGCACTTACCACACAGATGAAGAGTCCACCAAAGAGTACCAATGCCATTATGACTGAGACCAACGTGATGAGGAAGATTTCCCATGGTTTCAGGGACCCACTAGGCTTCTCCTCATTAATGAGAGTAGTAGGACTTGTGCTAATCCTATTGGAAGTTGTGTGGGTTCCAGTTTGGTTAGGTGTGCCAGAGCTACTGGAAGTTCCACTTGACCCAGTGTTTGCTTGTGTGCTAGTCTCACTGAAGGTTGTGCTGGATTCAGTGTTGGCTGGTGTGACAGTCCCACCAGAGGTTGTGCCAGATCCAGAGTTGGTTGGTGTGCTAGTCCCACTGGAGATTGTGCTAAATCCAGTGTTGGCTGGTGTGTTAATGACACCAGAAGTTGTGTCAGATCCAGTGTTGGCTGGTGTGCTAGTCCCACTGGAGGTTGTGCCAAATTCAGTGTTGGTTAGTGTGCTAGTTCCACCAGAAGTTGTGCCAGATCCAGTGTTGGCTGATATGATAATCCCACCAGAAGTTATGCCAGATCCAGTGTTGGTTGGTGTGCTAGTCCCACTGGAGAGCATGCCAGATCCAGTATTGGCTGGTGTGTTACTTCCATTGGCAGTTGTGCTGGATTCAGTGTTGGCTGGTGTGATAGTCCCACTGGAAGTTGTGAGGGATCCAGTGGTGGCTAGTTTGCTAACTTCGTCAGAGGTTGTGCCAGATCCAGTATTGGTTGGTGTGCTAGTCCCACTGGAAGTTATGCCTGATGATAATCATAAATACTGATAAATATACATTAAGCATATAAACTTTGTGTTCAATGTTTATTAAATTGCATTAGGTGGATAAATCTATTTAATACTCACTACAGTCCTATGATAATAGGAGTTCTGGTGGCATAGTGCCTAAGGCATTTGACTGCTAACCAAAAGGTTGGCAGTTCAAATCCACCAGCCACTCTGTGGAAAGAAGACTGGGCAATCTGCTTCTGTAAAGATTTACTGCCTTGGAAACCCAAAGTGGGTTGCTATGAGTTGGAATCGACTTGATGGCTGTGAGGTTGTTTTTTTTTTTTTTTTTTTTTTGACAGCCCTATGACATAGATACTGCTATTATCACAAGTTAAGATGATGAACTTGAGGTTCAGCAACATTAAAATGCTTGCCTAAGTTTATACAACTAAGAAGTAGTGGAATAGGAGCTAAAATTTATGCTTTTGAGTCTGCATTTTTTAACCAATGTACTAAGTCACTTTCCCACCCACTCTAACACCAGAGTTACCTGACCTAGTTTTGGTAGATAAGTTTATTCCATTCTATTATACAAAATCCAATACAAATAAAATGTGTAAAATAGAATTGTAGAACCCAACTGAAACTAGTATATATTGATGAATGCGTTATAAAAGAGGTAGTGCTCCTTCCTCTTGGACAATGTTTCTCAGAATGTTATTCAGAAAACATCTGCTTCAGAATCACCTGGGGAACTTGTTGAAAATAAAGATTCCTAGATATACCACTCCAGACTAAATGAATTTGTTTTGTTTCTGAATCAGGGCCCAGCTATCTGTATCTTCAGTAAGTGACCAGGTAATTCTATGCGCATTGTAATTCCAGGGACTCCTAATCACTATTACAAGGGCTGCAGAAGAGTAAGTTATATCTACCTTAAATGTATACAATCTCTCAGGATTAAGGACTGAAAACCAAGGTCTAGGGAAGCTTCTCAACCTTCTTGGAGGCTCAGCTGGAATTAGTGTTGTGCCTATTTTCTGCCTCTCACTCTCCAAGGGACCAAGGCTTTCAGCCTTCCAAGAGCCTGTAGTTTCTCATTTCATTTGTGATTCATCTTACTGTTAACTGCAACAAGGGGGCCTATCCCCATTCCCTTTACAGGTTATTATTTTTTTCTTTTTTCTTTACTGTTTTATTTGAAATAAAATAGGATTAGAGTTTGGCTCTGTTTTGGAAAGCACCCCCCCCCCCAAAAAAAAATCTGCAATGTGGTACAAATTGAGGTTAAGGTGAGAATCTTGAATAAAACTAATTAAGAAACTGAGACGCTTAACCATTGAGGTGGCATGTGAAAGAGGTAGTGGATTTGGCGTGTGAAGTTTTAGAGAATAGAATAAATGGGTCAAAATTATAAGAGGGATAATTTTGGTCCAAAACGATGAATTCTCTAAGAAGTCATTGCTTTCCAGCTGTGCAATAGAAAATGGCCCACACCATGTTTAATAGTGTCAGAGGCATAGAAACAGGGTGGGAGTCAATCTTGACTTTTAAATCTTATTGTCCTCACCCTGAGTCTGATTTGGCTGGTATGGAATCAGGGTTCAGGACAGGAGAGAAAATGGGTTTGTAGAATATAGGAGTGATATTTTTAAAACAGCCAATTCTTCTTGTTCTTAATATTTAAATCTTCAATCATATTACACGGGATATTATCATTTAACACATGCAGAAACACAGGCACACAGGGGTTAAGCAGTTTAGCCAAAGTACAAAGCTAGGAGATGGAGCTATAATTCACACCTAGACAATCTAGGGCCAGAATCCATAGTTTTAACCTTTATGCTCTAACTGCCTCCTGAGTGATAGATACATTTTTAGACTGAAGTCATTAGAGTTAAATGATAATCTATTTTCTGAAGAAGAACTAAAGCTATGCCCAGCAGTAGTTTTCATCTCCAACAACCCTTAAATATTCTGAGACTACTCAATTGTAAATAAAATCACTCACCAGGTTCTAAAAGTAGGAGATGTAATAGTAACCAATGCATAAAATAAATGTTTCCTTTATACATCTTGATCTCACTTTTTGTGGCTGGAAAGCAAAATTCCTGGATCCCAGATGTGGCCAAGACCTAGAGGGCAAAGAAGAGGGAATTCTTGAGAAAGCAGAGTTCAAGGTGAAGAGATAAATATAGGAGCTTCTGGTAGCTCAGGTCTCCTAAGTATGGGTTCTTGGGAAGCCTTGGGCTTAGAGTGGGAGCTGTGTGTGTGCTCGATGCCTTGGTTCCTTAGGCTTCCTCCATGTGATGCTGACACCAATTTCTTTGTTGTAGAAGAGCTGCAGGAGACTTTATAGCTTCATACAGCCTGGGGAGGGGTTGGATGTTTGATCTTTTGCTTCCGCCAAAAATGAGCAGGTGACAAAATAATACCGAGCTGGGGAAGAAATAGACTAGGGGTCAAGAGAAAGGTGAGAAAGGAGAATGACATGATCACTCTAGGCAGGGCACTGGGCTGGGCTAGAGCAGGAAGTAAAATGGAATAAAGAGATCAAGGTTGTCAGAGCAGAGGAGACTCACCCTATGAGGCAGAGATGGGGCCAGAAACTTGTTCTAGCTCAAGACTCTGTTTCCTGGTGAGGAAGACCTATGTGCTTGATTTAGCATGGAAGAATTCCTAATGAATGAAGCTGATGGGGTAGGACCCCTTATCCCTAAAGCAAACAGAAATATGAGACTCAAAAGAAAGCAGTTACAAGGGAACTGGGATCCTGAGTTATGGGCAGAAAACTAATGGGGCATTGTTGACTATACAGTAGGCATTCAACAACACATGTTGAACGAACAGGAAAAGAGAGATCCAGGGAATAATGAAGCTGTCTTCGGGATCTCTGGGGTGTGGGCTGAGGATGTGAAGAGAGTGTTGAATACGAGAGAACAAGCCATATTGGACTTTGTCAGAACCATAGCAAGTGAAGAGGTGACACAGATCCCCCTTCTGACCTGCAACCATAGGGACTACCCTATTTTTTTTTTCAGACAGATCTATAGGAGCTTCTCCACTGTGGGATCCTTCAGATGTTCCTTTTGATCAGTCTTAATGATGCATCTTGTGGTATAGGGAGAGGCACAGGAACCTACTTGGGAGACTTTAAGTCTGGTGAGGAAAGGGAAATATATAGTCTGAGTCCTCTAGGAGATACAGGTCTAATCTAGACATTTGGATGATCAGCAGAAAGGACACACGGTCAGCTAATTGAGCATGACAGAACGGACAAAAAAGCAGAGCATTTTGAGAGTTCATGATGAAGGCATCTTGTGGTTGGGAGGATGAAGATGGAATTGATAGGAAATATGGTGCACACTCTGAATGACCAAAGACAGCTGTTTCCCATTTCCCTATCAATGATGACAAGATTCATGGAAGAAGTGACATTCCAGATAGGTTGTTTTTTGGGTGAGCAAGTACTCCTAATATGTAAGACCTAATATATAAGAAGGACACTAACAAGCACGAGGTAGTTGAAGACACGAAGGAACTTGGAACAAATGAGTCTGAGAGGCATCAATAAACTGAATGTACTAATAAAGGCTTAGAAGTGGATCTGCTTAGAGGCTGTGATGCTAAGGTGGGAAGATATGGTCTATAACAGGTTGGGTTCTAGACTCCTGGAAATCCTGATATGTGGCTGAAAGACTAATAGCATTCTCGTAAATAAACTCTTTTTCCCCTCTAGGATCATTTGAAAGCAGAGGTCCTGGATTCCAATACCATTCTATCATTTACTAATTGTGCGATCCATATACAAGCCTTCTCTAAGTCTCAGTTTCTTCATTTATATAATGAGATAATTAGTATTTGATTGGAATGAGTATTTTTAGTATGATTTTTTGTTAAATACTGAGAAGAAAAAAATTGTTATGTAATCATATACCTGGTATTAAGAATCACAACACACAGACTTCTGGCAAGATGGCAGAATAAGCAGACAGGCTACACAGACCCACTATAACAAAGAAATAAGAAACCAATTAAAATAGATACAGAAGATAACCCTGGAACCCTGAGCTTCAAAGGGAAGGATAAAGAAGTGGATTAAATACATACTAGTAGAAGAAATTGAATGAAAACAGCAAATAAGGAGACAAATGGAGCTGTGGACTGCCAACTGGCCTGATTGTGTAGCCCTTTTGAATGTTTACAAGTGGTGTTTGCATCCAGGTAGCAACCTGATAATTGGCTCTGCTTGCTAAAGACTCCATGGGCAACCACATTGGTGAATGCTCACCAGAAAACAATCATGCCCACATGAGCTAACCACATCCACACCTCCCTTGCCCACCTGCTGGGCAAAGACCACCACCTGCTTCTACACCAATTGAGCAATGAGAGATGGTAGCCAATACCAGCCAAACCTGCCCTCACTGCTCTACGTGAACAAATAATAGAGATCTGTACACACATTCTCATCACATTCACCAGGAAACAGGTGGTGAGTGCCTAAGTGCTACCACACTAGTGAAGAGGAGAGTAGCACACTAGCCCCACTCACTCAGATATATCAGAACAAAACAAAACAAAATAAAACAAATAAACAAAAACCTGGATGGATCACACCAATATGCAATTACCAATTAAATGTAAATACAATGACATCACAATGTTTTGGAGACAACTGATGACCCCAGTTCACACAAAGAAACAAGAAAAGTAGTGCAAACAAAGGACCAGAATATAGAGCCAGAAAATCTCCCTGAGGATGAAGTGGCATCAGAAATACCTGTTAAAGAATTCAAAAGAATTATTATTATTATTTTCTTTTTCTCTTGCTTCAGTTCAATAATTTACTGTAGATATAATATATTCATTATGGGGTTTACATATTTTTTTTCTTTTTATTGTGATTTGGGTGAAAATTTACAGAGCAAATGCACTTTCCATACAGCAGTTCACATACACTCTGTCT